TAAAAATACTAATGTCCGATGAGAATCCACTGAAGTTAAACGATTTGTAACGTTCAAAATCTATAAATATTCCAGTCAGATATCTTGAGTTTTCCGATTGATAAGCGTTCTAAAAATCACGGTTATAGTTTTCGAAGCTTATAGCTAACTACGAATAGACACTCTTTTAGGCGCGTTCGTTGTATTTATAGGCGTGGAAAGGTTTTCTAGAAAATTCAGATTACATAACAATACTGGGCCAAAATTAGGCGTTTACGTATATAGATGTATTGTTGATTCTTACTCACGAGAATCTTCTACAACTTTGGAGAATAGGCTGGAGTTTCGCAATACATATTTAACACTATAAGCTACGCATGTTTTTAAACATAAACTTAATCTAAACAACGTCGATGTTGAAATAAATATGTAGCAACAAATTCGTTACAGATGAATCTGTTTTTCATTGATACCATCAATCTTGATGCGCATGTGATACAAGAGATTAGATGCCACCGCTGAATCTCTGTTTGTCATTGATACCATCAATCCCTTCAAGTAAGAGATCATATGTCACCGCTGAATCTCTGTTTGTCTTTGATACCATCAATCCCCTCAAATAAGAGATCATATGTCACAGCTGAATCTCTGTCATTGATACTATCAATCCCCTCAAATAAGAGATCATATGTCACAGCTGAATCTCTATTTGTCATTGATACTATCAATCCCCTCAAATAAGAGATCATATGCCACAGATGAATCTCTGTTTATCATTGACACCATCAATCCTCTCAAATAAGAGATCATATTTCACAGCATAATCTCTGTTTCTCATTGATACCATCACTCCCCTCAAATAATAAATTAGAAATAAACTCCCTAACTTTGCTCTGTTATTGTTCAACGTCTTGGAGAACTAAACTGAGAAATATAGTCCGAAAAAAAGCCCCCATTTTTGCCTTTTCCGTTTCAGTTGTTAAGAATTGAGCAAAAAGATCAGTGAACACTAAGTCATATTTATCAAGCTTCTTACCGAAACATCTATGTTTTAAAACTAGGAATTTAGATCCGAAACTTTCTGTTTTTTCACGGGTACATAGTGAGTTATGAAACACATGACTCAGACAGAACAGGTTCGAAATAGCAAGTTCATAGTATTGCATCGAGCTGATCATACACTGACTCGTATATATAAGAGACTTGTCCTTGTGTCACGATGAATAGTTTTGCAATTTTACTTGTCAGTGAGATATGGGCTGGAAAGTAAGTAAACCTATTTTGTTTCTTAGCTGAATTAAATATAATGTTTATAGTATAATATTAGGATCTACAAGAAAAATCCGAATGGTTTTTAAAATAGTATAATTAAATGTTAGGTCCTAATTATTTCGTTGTTTTTTCTCTTTATTCTCAATTAATGTATTAGATTTTTGACTTAACGTGTATACAACTTATATTTTCTCCAAGAACACTGTATCGAAATAAGGGTACTCTCCATCACTGTCTCCAAGTCTCACGAGAAAAACAAGCGACACTGCCATTGAAAACTACTCTTATATAACTTCTACTCAAAATGGCGATTTGCCTGGCTTAAGTAGAATACAGAATATGCGAAGTAGGCGAGCCAGAAAGTTCACAATTGTAGGTGTTTTATTAATTGAACAGGAGTAGGGATAGGATGATTCTAAAATTGTAATAATATATAGGATATTCATTAACCCAGTCAATCATCGAAACCACTCCTACAATTATTCTACTGTGTGTTAAAGTCAGCTGTTACAAAGAATACCAAGTAAGCGACCTCATAACAAACAAGCCTAAAAACCCGAAAACCGCGACTTTCAAAACATTAAATCGACGTTTTAAACAAATAAGCCCAGTTCCGTTTATCATAAGCGGACTTGGCAACGGATCTTCTGTTTTTGTGCGCATGTGTAAAATGAGATTAACTAAAAAAAACACACACACATAATTATTTGATAAATTATAAATACATATGAATATTTAACTTTTACCTTTTATGTACTGAAACCAAATATTGTTTTTTAATTTCGCGCAAAGCT